GCAGGGAGGGAGGGAGGGAGGGAGGGAGGAAGGGAGAGAGGAGGGAAAAAAGGAAGGAAAGGAGGGAGGGAAGGGAGGGAGAGAGGGAGGGAAAGAAGGAGGGATAGGAAGGAGGGAGAGAAGGAAGGAAGGAAGGAAGGAAGGAAGGAAGGAAGGAAGGAAGGAAGGAAGGAAGGAAGGAAAAGAGGCAGGGAGGGAGGGAGGGAGGAAGGGAGGGAGGGAAAGAGGGAGGGATAGGAAGGAGGGAGAGAGGGAAAGGAGGGAAGGAGTGAGAGGGAGGAGGAAGGAAGGGAGGAGGGAAGTGAATGAGGGAGGGAAGGAAGGAAGGAAAAAAGGCAGGGGGGAGGGAAAGGACGGATAGGAAGGTGGGAGGGAAAGAAGGAAAGGAGAGAGAAAGAAGGAAGGAAGGAAAGAAAAAAGGAGGAAGTGAGGGAAGAAAAAGAGGAAGGGAAAATCGATGAAGGGAGGGAGGGAGGGAGAAGAGGGAGAGAAGGAAGGAAAAGAGGCAAGGCGGAAAGAGGGAGGGAAGGAAGGAAGGATGGATGGGAAGGAGGCAGGGAAAATGAAAGGTGCAAGGAAGGAAAAAGAGGGAATGAGGAAAGGAAGGAAGGGCAGATGGGAAGGAAGGAGGGAGGGAAGGAGGGAGGGAGGCAGAAATTGAAGGAAGGAAGGAAGGGAAGAAGGGACAGAAGGAGGGAGAAGAAAGGGAAGGAATCAGGGAGGGAGGGAGGGAGGAAAAGAGGGAGGGAGAATTGAAGGAAGGAAGCGAGGGAAGGAGGGAGTAAAGAAGGTGGGAGGGAGGGAGGGAAGGAAGAAGGAAAGAAGAAAGGATGATGAAGGAGGGAGAGAGGAATGATGGATGGAGGGGAGAAAATGGAAGAGAGGACAGGGAAGGGATGAAGGAAGGAGGGAGAGAGGAAGGAGGAAAAGAAGGAGGGGTGCAGGGAAAAATGTAAGAGAGGACTTGGAAGGGTGGAAGGAGGGAGGCAGGGAAGGAAGGAAGGAAGATGGGAGGGAAGGAAGAAAGGCAGGAAAACGGGAGAGGGAAGAAGAGAGGAAGGAAGGAGAGATGGAGGGATGAAAACGGGAGAGAAGTCAGGAAAGGGATGAAGGAGGGAAGGAAGAAGGGAGACGGGGAGAAAAGGAAGGAGGGATGGAAGGAAAAAAGAAGGATGAGGGGAGAGAGAGAGAAGTAGAGGGGGGAGGAAGGAGGGAGGGAGAAAAATGAAAGAGAAGGAAAGGAGGGAGAAACGAAGGGAGGGGAAAAAAGATGGAGGGAGGAAGGCAGGGGCTTGGAGTGAAAGAGGGGCACACCCATTTTTTTTGGGGGGGGGCTCTCCTCCCTTTCTTCCCAGCAAGACCCCGGGGGGGGGGGGGGTTCCCCTGCTTGGGGGGGGTCGCAACCAAGCAGGGGTGTGTGTGTGTGTGTGTGTGTGTGTGTGTGGAGGGCGGGCCGGGCAGGTTTTCTGCACATGCTCAGGAACCCCTCTTCCTGGGGATGCCACCTTCCTCCCCCTGCCCCCGCCTCTCCTTCCCTCTTGAGCCCTTCCCCTCATTCCAACCAACCCCCCTCCCTTTTCCCCTGGACCGTCTAGCTTGCCTTCCACACCTCCTTGGCTGGGGATGTTGGGCTTGGGAGTCCGGCCCGTGGGGAGAAAAAGAGTGGGCTGGGGGAAGTGTGTGTGTGGGGGGGGGGGGGGGGGGAGGGGGACCCCCCCCCCCCTTTTCTGGGCTCCCACCCCCCTTCCCAGGAGAACGGGAGTCCCCTCCCCGATCTCAGACCCCCCCCTTGAAAGACGCTGATTGACAGCTGGGGAGAGATAGCCCCCCCTCCCCAGATTTCCGCAGCCCCCTCCCCTCAATCTAGAGGAAACCCCCCCTCCCAGATTTCCGCAGCGCGATCCACCTACCTGCATCTCTTCCAAGGGTGCTCTGTGTGTGTGTGTGTGTGTGTGGATTTGGGGTGGTGTTCGGGGGTGAGATACGTGTCGGGGGGAGGGAGAACACCCCAATGGCCCCCTCCCCCCTTCGTCTCCCCATGGCCCACCGCGCCCCCCCCCGCAATCCGAGCCCCCCCAGCCTGAAAGACCCCAACCTGAAATGCGAAGAAGACCCCCTCCTCATTCCTTTGGCCAATGTGGGGAAGGGTCTGCGAAGGGCTAGGAGGCACCCCTCCCCGCAGATTCTCGGGACCCCCAGCCCCTTCCTTCTTCCAGGCCCACCTACCCGCCAGCAGCAAAGCCAGGAGGGCCAGCCGGGGAGCCGCCGGGGGCGCCCCCATCCCTGCCTGCCCTTCCACGCCGCCGATTAGCTCCTTCGCCGCCGCCCCATCATCCGCGGCCGCCTCGCCTCCAAGCAGCACCACCGCCGAGTGGCCAGCCGCCTCCTTGAACGGGGGTGGGTGGGGTGGGGGCGAGAGGAGGAGGGGCGGGGAGGGGGCGGCGCTCGGAGAGGGGGAGGAGAGCGAGAGGCGGCGGCGGCGGCAGCAGCGGCAGCCCCCCTCCCCATCCACGCCAATCATCCGCGGCCAACCAGGAGAGAGAGAGAGATGGGCTTTGTAGTCTCTCCGCGTTGTTGAGTTGCGCGGCACACATCCCTCGCTTGGCTGATCGCTGGGCTGGACGTGGGAAACGTGGGAGGGTCGATGCGGGAATTCGCACGGGGCTGGGCGCTCGGGACTCGCGCCCAAGCAGCCAACGCGAGGAGCGAAGGGAGCCGAGCAGCAGCTCCAGCCAGAGAGCTCAAGGCGGGGGGGTTGTCCCTCTGGCTGGGGAGGGAGGGGGCTTTGTGGCGGGCAGTGGTGGTGGTCTTGGCTGGATCGGGCTGGGACTTTGCTTAAGGCTTTAGTGCCTTGGGCAACTCAGCTTCAGCTCCAAGACACACACACACACACACACAGCTGGCAAGTTTTTAAGAGAAGAGAGGACTACAACTCCCAGAATCCCCAAGGCAACATGCTTTAAGATTGGGGGATTCTGGGAGTTGCAGTCCACGGGCTTAAAGTTATCATCATCCTGGAAGTAAGGTGATTGTAGGAGGAGGTTGGGCCGTTGGTACAGTTGCTGCCTCAGTCTCGGAAGGAAGGTGAGAGGATCCATCAGAAAACAATCCCAAAGCCCATGATGCTGGGCTGCCTCAGCCTTTCCAAACCCATGCCCCTCCAGGTTTGCCCGGCCGTAAGGCCAAGGAGCCTTCCTTTCCCCCGTCAATCCTGTCCGTCAGAAATTGAGGAATCTTATTCCCGATTCTTGGGCTTTCTTGGAGCGACTCGCAGAGAAAATAGTAGCGGACCTTGTTTGGGGGCAGCTCTTAATTTTGGCAGGGGGGTGACTGGCGGGCAGGGGGAGGTTTCCTCTTAGCCAGCTTTTGGGGGAACCAATCGGGAGCAGAAAGAAAGGGAGCTGTTGGGTGATGGCAAGCAGACCCAGGTGCAGATCCTGCTTGGCCCCGGGAGGTATGACAGGCATCCTGTCTCGAATTCGGTGGAGAGAAATTGGATCAATTGCGGAAATTCGAGCCTGTCCGCCAGTCGGCGGGGAGGATGCCTGGATTGTCTTGCTTCCTTAGGATGATCTTCATCAAATGCTGGTCATGTTGGGCTTAGCTTGAGAAACCAAACCGGGTTTCTGCTAGGGGCATCCCAGGCACAGGCCCCTTTCACATCAATCCGTTGCACCAAAAAATTTAAAAAAAAAAATCGCCTTGAGCACATCTCCACATCCGTAGAGGAGCATCGACCTGCAGCATTGCCAGCGGTGTGGCTGGCAGCTCTCCTGGCTGAGGATGCTGGGAGTTGTAGTGCCGCGGCCTCTGGATTGGGAAGGCTGAAAAGGGAGATGGGGGAAACCCCAGACTTGGCGGGATGGGACTCAAAGGAGACGAGTTAACCTGTTTAATGAAAAAGGGGAAATCAGTGTTTCCAATTCTGGATTATTTTTTAGTGCAAAAAGATGAAAGTTGTTTCAAACTGAATTGTTTGGGGGTTTTCATGCAAAAAAAAAAAAAGGAAATTGCGTGTTTCAAAATAAATTGAGTTTTGTGGTTTTTTTAAATGCAAAAAGGTGAAAACTTTTAAGTTTTTGGGTGGGTCTTTAAATGTAAAAAAAAAATCGTGTGTGTGTTAAAGTCTGGATTTTTTGCTGAACATTTTAATGCAAAGTGTGCGGGCATGGCTGTAAACTGTAGGGGTTTTGTGAGTTTTTCTTTAAATGCCAAAACGGGAAGGTTTAAAAGTTGGCTTTTAATGTTGTACACAACCTCCCTGTGTGTGTGTGTGTGTTTCACAGCTCTATAAATCTGTTCAATGAATAAGAATAAACTCCATTTCTTTTCCAACAAGGGAAGTCTTCGTTTCTTTGGCCATCCTAGAGACCGTGTGGTGGGCACCGGGTCAGCCAAGGGTTGTGTGTGTGTGTGTGTGAATATGTTTGATTTTTAAAAACCGGCTGTGCAGATCTTTTGGGGTGTCATTGTCCGAACAATGGAAGGAAGATGTTGAGCAAAGGCGGCAACAAGAGCATTCCAGGTAGCTCCACAAAAGTTCTTGGAGCGACTGAAGTTACGAGAGTGAAAAAAGTTTTTTCATACTTATGACTGTCGCTGGATCCCTACAGTCCCCCGATCCAAATTCACATGCAACAGGGCGGGGCAGGGCAGGGTGGGCAGGGCCAGCTGATCGTTGTCCGTACTGATTCGCTACAAGCGCTCGGAACTGGCCACAGCCCACCGCTGCTCGTACTTATCCCAGTCGTGGTGTCCCGGTGCCCCGTGATCCCTCTTTTGTGACCGTCTTCACAAGCAGGAAGCCAGATTCACTTGACCAGGTTTTACGACACAACTGCAGCAACTCACTTAACAACTATGGGAGAATGGTCGTAAAACAGAGCAAAACTCACTTCACAAATCTCTCGCTTGGCCACCGGGCACTGTTGCGGTTGCTGACGTGTACCTTGGTCATTCAACAAACACACCATCGACAGGCCGAGTTGTTTTTAAAAAAAACCCACGTTTTTTATTTCCATTGTCACAAATATTGAAACGTTTGTGCTGTGAGAACTGATGTCCCCTCCCCCAAATTGGAGCCAAAAAAACCCCACCCACCCCCAAATAAACTCTCCGTTCTCATGTGTACCAAAACACCATTGTGTTAATAATTCGTCGCACAAACATACGCGGGAGGATCCCGGTCACTAATCGAGTTTAAAAAAAAGGAAAGAAAGAAAGAAAAAGAGAGAAAAAGTTCTCCGTTTTGCAACAAACGTTTTCTAATCGAAAGTAGAGCTCACTAGAAAAGAAAAGGGACTCTGTCCGAAAAGGACCTATACTGAGGACCACAAATCCCATGGTGCTCCTGAGGTAAGGAGAGATGGGGGGGGGCGTGGGGGGG